CATCTTATATAAATGTCGGCGGAAAAATGTTCTTCAGAAGCTTAGTCACGTTGATTATGTAACTTAAAGTCACTCAATAATTTCTTTACTTTTTTGAAGAGAGCATCGATTTCGTCGAACTGAGTGTATTGTAAAAGCTAATATTTTAAATTAACATTTAACTTGTTAAATGCAAATTTATGCAGTTAATTTTTAGCATAAAACTTATTGCAAAACATGTATATATTTTTATTTGTATGTTATAACTAATTTCAATGACCTTAAAGGTGAAAACAGAGGTACTTTTGGCGGGTTTGTGATCTGGTTTACGGGGATGAGTTGTCCAGTTGATTTTCGTTTGGAATTGAATCCAGAACTTGAAAAACACCCTTTACCAAAACCACCGGAATATCTTAAACATCAGGTATATGATGATGTGGACGTTTTTTCGCGAATTGATAATCACGCCATCGAGGTAAAGGAACACTTTGATTTCACATGGACTATATTAGATATCAAAGCATGAATATGCTTCTTTTACTGACTTAATGTGGAATCTTGTATTTCGTCACAAGTTGTCTGATATTGAACGAGCGCGTGTAATATTTCGATGGGTTACCTCTAAGAATATGCAGAAAATTACCTTCGATGTCGTGTCGCCTAATTCTCCTGAAGAAGTGCTTTTGTCCTTCAGGGAAAATCGATCAAGCTTTGCTCGAATATATGAAATTATGTGCACGTATGTTAACTATATTCGAATCTGCTCCAGGTTATCGTATTTATAGTATTTTCTAGGAGGATATTTTTCTTATTTCATCGTTTCTTAATGGAGTTAACCACTTCTTCTTCCATCACACTTGCGTGTTTTATCAGTAAACCTTTTTATAAATCGCAATCAATTCCGTAATGCATCCTATTTTTCTTGGTCTGTTTCAGGGCCTTTCGTTTGTCATATTAATTGACTTAGAATCATCGTCTATAACATTTTTGATCTATTTAATTGCATCATGTATAATTTTAATGCGCTCACTTGCTTGCCTTTTTTGTAAAAGGTATTAGATTTTTGCTACGTTAAAGTTCATGAAAGGTAGTTCAGTATTTACTAGTGCTTTCGTAAAATATCAAGTAGAAAATTTTGTTTTTAAAATGTCGTGTACACCTGCTATTCATTTGTCTAGTTACGCTGGACTTCACTGCGTTGCAATTAGTGGCTACGCTAAGGGAGTTGACTACTTTCCTGGAGACCGTTTTCAGGGTCTTCCAGCAAATCATTCATGGAACGCTGTTTACTTAAAGGGCTCCTGGCAACTTGTAGATGCCCACTGGGCCACTCGCTATCTTAGTTCTGGGGTCAACATGCAGGATAACGTTGTGTACGAGTATGATGATTTCTACTTTCTCATGGAGCCGCAACAGGTTTGTCTACTGATTTATTATTTTTCTTGAGCATTTTGTATTTGTTTAATAAAAACAGTTTTCAAGAACACTGCTAAAATATTATTGATCTTTTTTTGAAAACTGAAGGACCTTATGGTTTTGACCTTTAATTTTTCAATGACTGGCACAAACAATGCGCATTAAATAAAAAGTAAGAGGTTACTAGTTTAAATATAAATTCTTTTTAAGGCTGAACTAAGAAGCAAAGTTTGTCCCAATGAGACATCTGTCACTCAAAAATTATCGTGGTACAAGCTGATGATCGGGCGCACTAAATTTGGTGTCAGAAATAACTACGCATCAATTTTTAATTCCTATTTTGTGTAAAGCTCTTTTGCCATGAAGCATCTGATAGCGGTTAAGAAACCTAGTTATATTCTTATCTGTGTTAAAAAAATGACATTAATGTCTATTTGTCTTTGTAAGTGTAGTTAGCCGTGGAGTGCCGCCATTTGGTAAATCGGCCTTATATATATGTCAAATTTAGGTTGTAAACTGCTCCCGCATATACATTAATGAGGTTTCATTGACAAAAAAATTAACATGGACTGTTTTCGTGCATTGGACTTGATATCTTTGCGAATGTCAACAAACCATTTGCAGACTAAATCTAAATTGCTCATGTAAGTGAAAACCCACGACTTTCCCCAAAATGTCCTCACTTTGTACACTGACAGCACACATGGCAAATAAGCTGTGTCCTTCCAGGTATGGAAGTATGCAGACATTTTTTTTCAGCATGAGGAAAATTTTAACTTAGACAGTGTCAAGTATCTCCTCTAAACATAACATTTAAAAGTGCTTGCATTGTGGTTTCACATATATTAGATACTATTAGCGTTCTGTGTTTATTTCCCAAACAGGCAATTTACAGTCATTTTGCAGAAGACTGCCGTTGGCAACTGCTTCCAAAGAAACTCACCTTAGCACAGTTTGAGAGTCTGCCTCTTACCAAATCACAGTTTTTCAAGTGTGCGATGGACTTTCGAGGTGAGCACCACGGCGTAGTCCAGGTGGTCGACGGCTGCATTCGCATGACTCTGGGGTTCTGGAAGCCTGGCGCCTTCACTTACAAGGTGCAGCATCTTCTTGGCAGCGCCAAAGACCCCCAGCCATCATTGCTTCCTGCTCGGTCGTTGGATCTGACGGATGCCTTGCTCGTCGGACACGAGAGCATGCCCCTCAAGGATTTTGTCCTCCAAGAAACGACTCAAGATACTCTCAACTTCTTTTTCCGCCTACCATCAAGAGGCGTCTACTTTTTGACAATCTACGCTCAGGTTTGTTATGCTTTATTTTTTTTGCAGGCGTGTTGTTAAAAACAGAGACCTGGCTTGGTGTTTGTTTTAAACAAAGTCTACATTTTGAAGGACCTAAATCTTAACATTGTACTGCTTAATAATGCTATTTATCTTCATCATTTCTGTAAACGACTTCGCAGCGCTAGAGTAGGTAGTAGCACGCGGTGTATTTGACTATGGAGTTGCTGGTTCTCCTCTCCTAAATGCTATTCACATTCCAGTTTTTACTTTGAATTCACCGAGATTACTATGGCGACACTTAGACTGAAAGTGCCAGACAAACAAATTTATTCGTTTTTCGTGTTTTTCTACACTCCACACCTGTGCGCGAAAAGTGTTTCCGCCTCTTTATGCTCCCACATTTCACCCTGAATTCTTCTGCATTCGAATGCTTCTTATGATCCTGTAGTATCAGCGACTGGATTTTTAGTAACTTCCGTTAAGATGCCAATTTATTTCCTGAATGAAGTATGGGGCATTCATTAGTCTCATATCAGAACACCCAACTTAACCTCAGCTGGCGACGAATTTTCCATGCGTAAGATAAAAGTTACGTGGAGATTACCAAAGTCGCTTCACAAAATGTTCAAATTTTTTGAGATCATCAGCTTCTCTTTTGGTTTGAAAATTGCAATGCAGTAGTAAAAAACGCTTCCAACAGCAAATAACCCATCATGTGTCTCACTGAAGTAAGCTGAAAGGTACACTCAACATTATCGTTGTCCATAGTGGTACGTGCCTTTAAAAGAGAAAGCTGACTTTAAGTTATAATGGGTGCTAATCCACTCGTTAATGCTCTCAAATCATCAGTGTACGCATCATACCTACCTACCTACCCACCGTTTTCACATGATCGTTAGTATTTGTAGTGATCTGTACGTAAAATGTGCCAATTAATATGAACTATGACCTTGTTTAGTCAAATTCTCCTCTACTATATGCTCACCCCTGTAATCGTACCTATACTGCACAGAATAAAATTAGACAGGTCCGTATTTCTTGGAGCGACAAAGTTAAATATGTTATATGACCCGAATAAATTAGGCGGCAGGCATTTCGTTTTGAGCTACGTGTGATTGCCACTGGATTTCTGACGTCTTAGTCACACACGCACACATGCACACCGTCATCTAATTACCATTCACAAGGATTGTCTGGTGGGTTTCCTGTCCTTCTGCCCATGGATACGCACGTGCTGCTTCTGCGGTGTGTACACACGCCAAGCCTGTATCCCAGGTCGTTCTTACTAACTCAATAAATAACACAATACCAATTAGGCTGCCAGTTGACCCACATTAATGACAGTGCTTCAATCTAGCAGAGAATTTTGACGGTTTAACTGCATACCACATAGTGCTTTCTGCTTTGGAGGTACTAACCAAATCACACTATTATTATTATTATTCCAAACATTGCTTGGGCACCCACGGTCCCCGTTTCACCTCACCTAAAAAAACCACGCACTATTTAAAATTGACCATCTCTGGACCACCAAAATTCTCCTTGTGTCAAAAGACTGCACTCAACAAACCCACCTTTTTTTCACCCCATTTCTGAAAAATAGTCATTCGAGGTCCTATCAGTAACTCTAATCTAGGTGCACCATGTGATATCCCTTCATGGTTGCCATGTGTGCTTTCGTTGCGCAGTCATCAGGAACGTGTAAAGCTTGCAAAGCGTCATTTCTCCTCGGTGAATCGACACTGCGATGCCCAAACTTTGTTCTCCAGACCGCTGTGCTTCTTTGAACGCGTGTGCAGCGAGACACAAAGCCTTCACACACACACACGCACACACTTTAAAGTGTTAAAACCGTATGTTATCGTTGCGACTCTTTTTGATGTGATCAGCGTTAACACGTGCCAGGCAGAAGGACTTGAAGAAACGCTTTCGCCTCGATATCAGGGCTTTGCGAAGGTGGGACAATAACTGTACTGTGATTTATTAATCAGTCAATACAAACTGTTGAAGTTATGGGTGATTCTTTCTCGTCCCATAGATGGATACTGGCCTTCTCGAGCCTTTGACTTCTGAATCGGAAGTAAAATGTTAGGCTTTCAAATACCCACCAGATTCTATGAGTGCATTTTGTAAAACAGGTTATTGCTATTAATGGAATTTAAAAGACTCAGTGGGTGGGATTTCTTGTAAAGACCAACTATTTATCGTACCCCTTGCCAATTTAAATTAAGTCCGGACTCTTACAAAGCAATGCTTTTGTGCTGTTTTTTTCGCCTGGTGAGTTACTTTAGCAGAATGTGGGAAAACCCGTTTTCGATTCTGATTTGCTCCTTCGCAAACTTCGATAATTAAATTTTGCATCCAACTCAAAAAAAAAATTTAATTGCCCGTTTTGAACTTGAGCACACATTATAGATTAATTGGGTTTTATTCTGTGATGGTTTGTCAGAAATAGACAGTTTGAATAAGTACGCAATACGTCAGATCATAGTTGGGTAAAGGTGAATTCAGCGTTCATGAGCATTTCGAACAGTAGATGAAGCATTTTATTGACTCCGGATAATTTGCCATTTTCTGGAGTCGTTTTTATACTTACCAGATTTTTACTTTAATGTCCACGTCTTTCGCTTGCCAAGCATTCATTTGTTCTCAAATTTGAATTGTAAATTCCTGCACCAAGCATCAAAAAAGACCTGTTAAATGCTACGAACAATGAGGTAGCATTGACGCACGCAAATTAAATTCTGCAAAAATCAACAAAGTAAAGGTCACCACTGTGCATTCAACTCGACATGTGTTCAGGCAACTAACTCCACAGTTGCTAAAATGAGTCATTAATTCAGCAAATCTAAACATCACACCATGGTATAAACTTTGTCCGTTGATGATCTAAATTTCGAATTGCATAAAAAGGCAGACATTTAAATTCAAGTGACTTCTGAGAATATATTACCGGGAATTCGAATGTTGTGTAGTTCTTTAAAAATCTAATTGTTTCAATGACTCGTCACAAGATCGGGCTAAGCACACGATAGGAAATTTGCTTTTAAATATTGTGCTCCATAGAAACCTAGTCGTTGTATGTGCCAGTATTGGAATTTTGGATTCGTGACACGAGAGGTTACGCAAAATATGGTATTCGCGCTAGCTCAATTAGATAGACTGTCCGCCTAGCTGAACGTGATAATGTCACCAACAGCTTCAAACTGGTGTTCGTAATTGAGACCATGGTACCATGCTGCGTGTGATCTGCGCTTACACGGCTATTTTTCATGTCAGATCTGTTGAACCTTTCTTAGTTGACGGCTCTCAATTATCGGTTACCTGTTTTTTTTTCGAGTGGAGTCAGAAGTCACCTTTTTTTCCTGTAGCAGGTGAGTCAACAGTGTAGACCAAGCCGGTTGCCCATCTCTCAATGAATGAGTGTAAATTAAACCCAAAATATAACAGAATAAACCACGGAATCTTGTGGCACCATCTGTGGATCAAAAGGGGAGAGTACACAAATCTCTAAGTGGATTCCGATATGGTGAATAGGATGCGTGAGGCCTAATAGGCAAAGCAGCTTAATCAATTTTACTTAATAAGTGCCCTATACGTACCTCACTTAATCTGGCTTGAAAAAGGAAATCCAGTTTTTTATATAGCGTGCAAGTTTGCAAACTAGGGCGTCTACTTCGGTGGTGTGGATCCCTATCCGCACGGGGCATGCGTGTCCGAAGTCACACACACACACACACACACGTCTAGTGAAAATCGTGTTCCTTATTGGCAGGACTTGAGCAACCCGGTGATGGCCAGAAACGGTACTTTTCGTGCAGCCTGTGAATACAAGCTGATTTTCGCAGAAGGCGAGGCGTGCTGTGAGCCCTACCCAGTCTGTGATGACATGAACTGGGGCCCGTCGTGGCTGCACACTCGCCACTACGGTCTTGAACTCGCTCACCAAAACGGAGTGATCAGCCTGCCTCCGGGACGTCTCGCTCCCTCAGGCGATTACGTTGAGCCAGGCCACCTGGAGCTGCGCTGTGTTCGGCATCGACCTGAAGTGCAGCTATTCTCAAAACTGAAAAAAAATCACGTCCCAGATGAAGCGTTGGAGCAGTACCTCCGGATTCACGTTACGCCTGGGGAAGCCATCTTCGTCCTGGATTTGCCTGAGCCTGGTAAGTCCAGAAACTCTATTTCAACAAGCCTTAGGTTCATTGGATGATCGCAAACGGGAGGTAGCGTGCTATGTCTGCTAAGTATGGTTCAATTTTCCGCGTAAATTTTTATTGAGGGAGTCAAAAGTTATTAAACATTGCGCAACATGGAGGTGATTGCTCGTGCTAGCTTCAAAAAAACTGTATGACCTCATATATCCATCGGTGATTTAATGCAAATTCTTTATTACCGATTAAAAGTGGCAAAGGCTCGCAAAGTATTGGCGTTAGTTGAAATACTGGGACTGATTTTTTCCCGAATTCCTTGTATACAAATTTATTTCCGGTGGATCGATTAGCAATTTAGTTCGTTGTACCCCTTAAGCTGGACTGAATCGGCTTTTCTGTTTGATACTTCTTTATCCATAATCTCCTATGTACTTTATTGATAATTTGGCCTAAGTCAAACTCCTCTTTGGGTTGAATTTATCTACCATTTGGTTTAGGTTTTCATTGTGACCTCATTTTTTACATCGCATTTTGAAGTACTGTAGACCTTTTACATATACATATTTTTGTGCGTTTGCCGTAAACCGCACGAGGAGGTGTCGAATAAGTGCGAAATTGACTCACGTCTGAGAGACCTTGTGTATTTGGCACTGCGTCAACATTCTTGGCACTTGGTTCTCACATCGGCATCATCAGCCGACTGGCTGATATCCACACGTGCTCGCGCAGTTTCCCGGTTTAGCGGCGCGATTTGAACATGTGGGGCTTATTCTCACGCACTCAAACACGCATAAAATTGTTTAAGTTCCCCTAATAGTAGCTGATCATGTACGTCCACACGAAAACGTAAAACCCTGCGCTTATCAGCTCTAGTTGCCAAATAAGTTACTCCCAAACACCCGAAACCATAATAGTGGTTCTTAGTTTAAACTCGCATTCGCCTCCAACCGATGGATTTGAATTTCAAGTAGATTAGGTGATGAGACGCTAATACGAATCAGGTCAATTGGCCTGCAGGTGGGTGTCCTGAACTCGTGGGTGATTTCGAAAAACACACTAGATCAGGAAACGCTGAAAATCGCGTCGAGGAGGAATCTAAGTGCTTCTCAAAGATGGTTGCGTGGCGTCGAGTGGGATAAAAGCCGTGGAAAAAGACAGCTGACTTGGCGTGAATCATCAGCGATTGCAGGTAAAGGGTATTTTGCTGAATCATAGCAGAAACTCGTTTGCGTACTCGTAAAAACAATTGTTTGCAGAAATCGGGCTAAAACGTCGATTGTCCCTTTCGACAGCCTAATAGTAATCGTGAAATGTCACACACGTAAAAGCAACGCGTCCTCTATATCAGTTGTTGGTTTTTGCGTGGTCGTTGCCACGGTGAGCTGTGTATGGCCGTGCGTAACGTGCTGCGTACATATCCGGCGCCTCCTTACGTGACCGCAGGTTATAATCACGAGAGAAGTCTCCACCGCTTGTGTATTCCACAAACACAAGAGCACAGCTGGACATACGCCAACAGGAGTTACGCCTAAGGGTGCCTGCCAGACGCTTACAGCATCATGCGATGACGTCACCACAACTGCCTGACCAATGGTAATGGACTCGTGAGTAATCTCGCGCAGGTGTTTTGGCCGCGGTGGCAGTGACGTCCATTGAATCCACAAAAGCCTTCTCACACGTTCGCCTGACGCTGGGGCTACAACGAAGGGCCCAATCATTGTCCGGTTTGAAATCATTGATAAATTGTGCATTTTCGTATTGATTAACTGCCATTCTGTCCAGTTGAGATGTCGAGGGGAGGGGGTAAAACAAAATTGTTGTTGCTATTTTATGGGCGCAAGAATAGGTTACAAATGATGCCGTGTTATTCCAATAAAAGGGTGTCAATAACGTGCAATTTAGCTTGTATTTACAGCGTCCTCGTTTGCGGATAATTGGAGGTGACGTCTAGTATTTGCTGGGGTTAATCAGATTACCAACACGAAGCTAATGATGCAGCGATAGTATAAGCAAAAAGGGACAGGGTAACCGATGCAATTCAGTTGTTTCGTGCAAGACATCGCGCCTACATGAGTCCGAAGGCTAACTCTCCTTCCGGTTCTGAGTCAAGCACATTGGTAATCAGAAGGATGGATTGTCCACACATTTCAAATTTGACTGACAAGGTCGTAGGCGTACATAAATTGAACTAAACCATGCGTTGGAACCTAGTGTCCACTAAGTAGGGTGCTTTTTTTTAAACTCCCGCACTTGACAAACAAAAAGGTTCGCCAGACAGAAATCACGGGATGTGTAGAGCCCAGGTGCGCTGGTCCTGTAGATTGATTTTGCTCTTGAAGAAGAGCCACGCAGCCAAGCCACTCACACGCATGACTGGTCGCTTCGGCCTTTTCGAGTGCCCTTGGTCTTGAATGGCTTAACGTCTGCTCTGGAATGCCTTATTTTTAAAACCCTCAACCACTTATCTTGCAATAACTGCAGCAAATCAGAATAATTACAAAAAACAGTACCTCTGGGCTCACCAATATCATGTGGCAAGGGAAACTATTGTTGTATCAAGGTGATTTCTTTCTCGTTTCGGGAATTTGGTTTTTGAAATCGTTGAGGCTTTAACAGACCTGGTGACCCCTCTGAACTGGAACCAAGTAAAACCCCTGCAGCGGGGTCTAAGGAGGGGGCGGACAACTTGGATTTAAAGTGGAAATGCACAAAAGGCTTCCTCGGAGTTATGTATTAACTCATGTGTCTTGTGCCCTGTAGCATTAGTTTGTTATGCACTCCCGATTGATCTCTAGTTTCGTCCTGGTTATGAGGAAGTTTGGCTTGAAATTCAGGTGAATATGGCCTCGAAATCTACGCGAATGAGCCCGAGGATGGGCGGGCCTTCACGCATGTCTGCCAGTACCTTGTTCACTACGAGGCTCCACCTGGTTGGCTGTCTCGTCCGGCAGCGCCAGCGAAGGCCGTCAGTACCGCTGCGGTCACCCTGCGGCAGACAGGGGGGAGTGAGCGGGCACCCGAGCACCAGCGCGACTCCCTCACCCGTCTGCGCGAGATGCCCGCGTACGGAGCTGACGCCCCGTCCATCGGCCAGCTACCACAGCCGTACCTTGAACCGCGCATCGCGTCTGTCCAGGTGAGGCTGCCTTTTCAACGTCCAATTGCATTCGTTCATTTCCTAATAGGCTTTAATCATTTCCACCGGCCAATAATTAAGGTTTTCTAGTCATATTTCTGGAATGACCGTGTCTGTTTTGTGTGAACGCGTTTCTAAAAAAGGAAAATGGTTCATTTTGCAAACTAAGTCCAGACTTTTACTGTCAAGCATGATGGTTTTTCAATTGGAAAGTGCATCTAGTGGTACTATCATTTTATAAGACCAAATTCTAGAATCAAACAGGAGGTTCTCATCGTAAGTTCACTTTAGTGGACGGGTGTGCTCTACTGCAACGAAATCATTGCTCTTTAAGCAGCAGATCTACAGACCGAAGAATTAGTGTATTACAAAGGCGACCTCGTTGGGTGCTGTCTTGTTTACGAACACAATCAAATATTATCGTCAAAAACCATCGTTACCACTACGTTTTGTGTTGTAAAAGCGTTTGGTTCAGTTTGTTGATGGCCTAAGCACGTTGGCTTAAACCACGCCTCGGCCACTGCGTTGAATTTAGTCCGATTACCCTACCCTGAGTGCCCGCAAAGGTGATGAAGACCGGAGAGGATGAGGCACGACCGTTTGCCAGACAGCTCAACGAAGTTGCGTTTTGCTGACTGATACAGTTAAGTGGACTACTGAAAATGCAGACGTCTGAACGGTCACTTGGGTAAAGCGGGAGGTGGTGGTGGTGGTACACGCAGAGGGGTGAATGAGCAGGCTATCCCGCGTGACTGACGGACGTTTGTGAGGCTACGACGACCGGATTATTGGACGTGAATCACCACAAGACGCACCACAGGTTCATCAAGCAAGACGGCATTATATTTTGCCAAGGTTTTCTACCACCAGATCTTGTCCACGTACAGAATTTGCAAATGCACTTTCGAAAAGTGGGCACTGATGACCCAATTCATCAATTTACCTAGTATTGAGCACCCACATACAGTCCTACTAAACATTTCAATGCTAATGTTAGTTTGCAAGTCGAGGAAGGTGCATTAATTAGCATTTAAATGGTACGTGGAATCCTAAATGACTAATTAATGAACTTAAATTTGAAGGCCCAGCTCCAAGATTCGCCGGCATTCTTTTTGCCAGCATTCCCGCAATGGTGTGGTTGCTTCGTTCCCAGCCTGGCACTGAATTATGTCGTCGTAATCGTATTTGCCTTCCGCCGTAACTACCTAGTGAGTACGGTAAGACTCGCACGCTTCAAGGGGTGTGGTGCTCACGAAAACTGGTCCTTACTACTTCGTACGGTGGCCTTCATTCCAGCGTTTTGACTTTTCTGTCGTCTTGGCTACGTGACCTGTCCACAAGAAGGAAGCAGTGACCTGTGCGCCCACTTTAATTCCAGCGTTTGTATTTAAACCTCATTCATGCGAATTCACGGTTTCTCAAGACAGAGGCGTTACGTAGCACCGACTCATGGCCCGTTTTGGTCGACTTTCTAAACGTAACCCGATTACTCGAGGAGCCACAGCGATGATTTTGAGGTCATGTTGCTGTAGGGCCCCAAACAGCCATGTCCAGGCTGATTTGCTGTCTGCCGCACTCATTTCGATTTCAAAAGGTGCATTTAGTGTCCTATCACCCCTCCATAGTCTAACTTAGTTCTGCAATGGCGCATAAATAGTATATTTGTGGAAAGTACCCATAGTTACCGTGGCAAACGGTTCAAGGAAATTCCATTTTCCTGCTATTTCCTGTCAGGTTGCTTCATGAACTCACCAGCCTATCTTAACAGTAGTTTCCGGCAGCTGTTTTATTTCATTCAAGAATATCAGGGGGAAAAAGCATATCTTGATGCAGTTATTTAAAGCCACCGCGGTTACTTTTTAGCGCACCTTCCTGTTATAACCTTCCTCGGCGTATTTTGCTTTCTCATCAGTCATAATTCCAAGCGAATATTGTCTGGTCGGTTTAAAATTGTATCTTTAGTTGCAACACCTCCTGCCTTGACTCATTGATTGACTAAGCTTGTAGATGTGTTAAGACTTTGCCAAGTGACATTTGCTCAGCGCATCTGAAGTCAACCCACACGTGAATGTTGCTCTGATTTGGATTCTAAGCTACAGTAGCACGCACCGATTCGCGTCACACGCCAAATTTCTAGGCTGTAGACTCATTTGTAATTCAGGGGCTACCTTTTGCCTTTGTTTTGCACACAATTGGCAGCCTTTTTTCCCACTTGGTTTGAACTTCTACTCGCCGGCTGTCTCGTTTCCTTTTGCCTGCGTCAATTCTAATCAAATCACTCAGTTAAGGATCGGGGAATAACACCGTGAATTTGCACTAGACGTGTTAATTAATTTTACGACAACCTATCCTAATGCACTTACCCAAGTCTAGAATCACCCCTAACTTTTACAGGCGTTTCGGTTTAACCGTAAATTTGGCTGATTTACGAGGTTATATATATCAACCACACATCCACAGATATGAAGGTTTGGGCAAAATTAACATGATCCAGAAGAAATCACCTGTGCCATGAAGTAATCAAGTGGCGCCTGAACACTCAGCTGTGTGGAGGTTCTCTGTTTTCTGGTTTGTCAGCTGCTAACTACGTAAATGCTCGCTCCACATCTCGGCCTGTCGAGGACACAGTTTCGCATTTGGTGCACCCAGTGTTTGGTTTCATGATCCTGGATTCAAAAATGCCGCGACCAAGCACGCATGCGTCCTGCTGCATTCATGCGTATTGCTAATGCACTTTGTCACCACGCCACGACATATTTAGGCATCTTATTATTCACAACATTTTAAGCAGAAACCCCACAATGTGGACAATTTCGAGCAATGATTACTCGTTCTTGTGAAAGTCTTGGGGTATCCTTGTAGTGAAGTAACAGCTTATAGAACATGCAAAAAAACCATCAGCGTTTCTGATACAAAAATAGTTACTTTGTGGGTTTTGAAATTCGCCGATTCGGTCACACAAAGCTCGCAACGTGTCCTCGTTGTGACTACCTCGACAGCAACATGCATCTGGCTTTGACCCCTGGTGGTTGTATTTTGCATTGCAAATTTGCAAACAGGTCAACCGATTGCAAAAAAACTATTTTTAAAAGGATCGCCTCGCTTGTTTGTGTAAAAATTGGTTGCGAGGATCTTGCTACCATAACCCCACGACATAAAGTCGGTGTGGTGATGTGTGCTTTGGTGTGGCGTTGAGTTTTTTCCTGTCCCTCAGCTCTAGGCCTCATTATTGACTAGGTGTTGCTTCGGGTGGCAAGTCACATACGCACACACACACACACACTGAGCGTCTTTAAAGGCGGCTCCTGTGAGGAAGCAGTTTAAATCCAGGGTAAACTAGCCTGCACCCGGAGTGTGGCAGCGTCAGTCGCCTGCAAACGCGGGACACCTTACTGGCAGTCTCACAAGCACTGTGCCACCCCCGCTCCGCCCCGCCCCCCATTTAAACTGGTTCCAAAAACTGCTTTCTTTTATAATTTTTTATCATGCCACGAAGCAATCCTTGATAATTTTGCAACATTTGATGTCTAAGGGCCAAGCATTTAATGGGCTTCCCTTTGTCAAATGACAGATTTAAGTCTACCAACGCTTTGTGTATTGAGGCTTTCTTTAGTTCCTTTTGCAGTGTCTCACGCAAGTGCTGCTCCATCGTGATGCTGTGAGTTTCACGCCACACCCACTGCCTACTACCTCGCTGTTTATTTGCGTCGTTTTAGCATAAGGTCAATGTTGAGAGCGGCCGACGAACTCCCAGAGTCCTCGCTTCAAACGCCCACGATTATGACGCCAATTATAAGGACCATCTGGAATTCCGATATGCGCCATCTGCATGGTCAGATACGGAGAGCCTGGACAGGGGCATGGGGGCAATGGGAATCAATGGGGTAAGCAATATTTACGTAGGCAAAATGCTTACTACTTACAAAATTCAGTACGTTTTATACTTCACTTTAAAATTCCGATTTTGTCCTTTTTGAGTTGCGTGCTGACGAGTGATGAGAATGTGGGATTGTGAAAAAGGAATCTTGGCGACGCAGACATCAACACATCTGCACAACAATATGTTTTTATTTCTGAGGAATTAGGAGTGTGGCTCTCATCATAGCAGGTTGTTAGTTAAAAAAATTAAAAGAGTTTATTGGTTTATCCAAATTACGTGTTCACATTTTCGAATTTCATAATTATACGCATGTTTCTTGCACAGTCATCAGAGATACATCGTGTGACTAAACTGGGCGAGTTTGCGTGAATCACCCGGTGCTAAAAAATGACAATCTTTTCAACCACTTCTACTTTACTTCCTGTTTTTCCCATTAAGAGGTTAAATTAACAGCGAATCGCAGAATTGGCGAAAATTTGGTCAGGTCAGCTGTGGGAAAAATACCGCTGTATGACGCACGGAGGAAGACCACGCGAGTGGGCTGGATTTTGCCCAGAGCATTTGTGACAGCCCTTCGAACGGCTGCTGCGTGATGGTCGTGGTCATAGTCGGGTACTTCCCCAAAAACGCATTCCTTCTGCGGCAATAATTGAAATTACTTGCAAGGAAATGTGTTGTGTACCAACATGGAACACAACAGAATTGTGGAGGTGGTAGGTGGCGCCACAGATAAATATAAGGCAATCACCCTAGAACTGGCCAATTGCGTCTTTGGCCTGTTTGTCCTTGAGACGGACGAAGCGGCTAATGCGATAATGTGATCCTACAAGTGGTTGTTTTTTCACCGCTCCTGGCATTTCCATCACACTTGGTCGTTGTTTTGATGTTGAGTAAAGCTTTATCCTGTTGACGATGATTGCGCAGGCTGTCTGCAGATAATGACTCATCCAGCCCCCGGAAATGAGGCTTAGGAGGCGCGAGCTTTCTTTTTCGAAGGAGAACAAAGTTGTTGGCCGGAATAGAAGTAGAATGACAGTCAAAGACAGAAACGGATGCACAAAATAAGTAAAAGGTAGCAAGATTGTCGATGTATTCAACTCACAGTCATGCTTGTTTTCAAGCGATGGACTAGGGTCTCAAATGCAAGTAGGTTTCTGTCTGCAGACGTGGCTAGACAATAAACTTTTCCCATAGACTTGATGCCTAACTGTAATTTGTTAGGTGGAGTTTATGAAACCCCAGAAAACAGGGGTTAGAGGCGTTGAGGACGCGTTGAATATGCCGAGTGGCGTTGCCGACCAGATCAGGCGTAGTCAGCCGTACATGCTTGCCTTGTTGGGTGGGCTGACGCCCACTCTCCGTTCACAACGTGATCGGGCTCGTTCGTTTGCAACGCTGGCACAGCGACAGGTAACTGGATGTGAACTGGCTGCAGCCGTCGTCTAGCCGGCTTCCATGCGCCCACACTGCTGTCCCCCTCACACTCCGGCTACCAGCACTAGTTGTGTTCTAGCGCCTCCAATTGGTCTTCACGTAATCATGTCTCTGTTTTTTTTTGTAGATATCTCCAGGTAATGGGAAGAAGCCATCAGAATTCGATCGCACCGGTCGATATTCGCCATACACTCCAGGTAGCTCGGCATTCTTTCACTTTTATTCAACTGGACAGCATGAAGTTTTAGTTGAATGATGAAACCGCTAAGTAAGAAAATCTCCGCCGTATTTAACTGTGTGCAAATTAAGGAAGCACTGATCAAGTAGATCTCATGGCAGCACTAGCGTCGACAAGTCGACCACGTAGGTTAGCATTGAGGGGATTTAACGCTCTTCACGTCGCATTCGTGTCCACAACCAGTGCGATCACCTCCAGCTATTTACCTGCACAAACATCTCGCGCCTGCAAATAACTTACGCCTGTTTACCCCGTGCGCAAGGGCCCTTCACGCTAGATTTCTCGGATAAGAGGATCTGCGTGCATTCTTTCTTAGCCTTAACTGACCCACTGACAGCCAATAGAAGTGTCAGTTGCCTTTGGTAAACTGAACATCAAGGCGCTATCTAGGCCCTAGAAAGTGTCAATAGAAGAAAGGCAACTTCCCTGCCAGCGCCACTTGCTCAAATCAGTCTGAATTAAATTTTAATAAGTGATTAAAAAGTTTTCAATAATTACGATTGGTATTTGTGAAAATACCTCCAAAATCTCAGATTTTATGGATTACAGATAGGACAAGAAAAATCCTCTACGCGAGAGCTTCAATTGTTGTTCCACGTTTACAATATTTTTTTTTCACTTCATGTGATTTTACAGTTTTTTGTTGAGTCTTGGGCAGTTTTTGACAAAATTTGCTGCAACAATCGCTTTCAGTTCCCAAGGCTTTAACTTCCGTAGTTGCTAAATAAACTGACAGAGTGTTGTAGTCAGCTTGAAGGCCATGATGTTACTCAAGTTTTCGCTTGAGATTTTCCACAAAACAAGGACGATTAGGCAAATAAAAGGGATTTTAAACCCAAGTTTCACTTGCAACATCTTCCCAACGTTATTCTAAAGCACACAATGTGAGAAGGATTTTCTTTAGACGCAAAAGACGAAGAACGCTTTAAATGATTGCAAACCACTTGGATCTTCGTCTCCCCATTTCGCACTACTTTTAAGAAGGTAAAAGCAGGTCGGTAATTGCTGTGCCGATCAAATCCACGTCGGCTATCTTTGGAACGCGGGTTCACCAAATCGTGCAGTCAAACAAAACAGCTGTGTTTCTATTTCAAACGCAAGGGTCCCATCTGTGCAATGCATACGAATACACATTTGTTGCACACACACTTCCAGCCACCCGTTGTCTTCCTCGGCGTTCAATTGGCTTTCTTAGCGCGACCAATCATCTTACGATTAAGATTTTATAGCTCATTGGTTGGAATTTACCTGCTAGTTCACGAGCAACTTAGGTAACACATTACTCAGAGGCGTTTCTACTCTGAAGCATGTCTGCAGGCATCTATAAGAACAATGGTGAGAATTTTCCTACTTACCGTGCTAAGTGTATTAGAATGTTTGCGTCTTGCACCAATGATATATTTAGCCGATGGGAAAAAGCTGTCCGATTTTTTGAAGCTTCCTGTTTGGTTTAAATAAAAAAATACCTATAAATAACTAGGCTAGCTATGTTATCAACGACGTAACAAATGATTTTACAAAATTTCGTGCTGATTGATTACTTTGATGTTTACGTTAAGCGCACCCCATTGAGAACAAAATCCGATTTCCGAGATATAGGGCTTTTGTGGGGTTCCAGATTTCCTAATTAGAATATGCAGTGAGTTATCGGAATACTGTTTTTGTTTGCATTTCAATAATTGTAAATATGCAGGTAGACTTTTTTAATTTTTAAGAGAAAAGCGGCAGAAATTGTGCTAGATGTTTCATTCTAAGTAGATTTATAATTCTCACACTGTACGTGCCTCGGTGTTTTACTGTTAAAATGAGTTCACCAAGCAGGCGCAGGCAGTTTTTGTTTAGTATAGATTAAAATAGGTGATGACAATTCATTTAGATCGTAAAAGACAAATTATTTTTGGTAATTTTGCCTTTTAAATGCATTTGTAACTGAATTACTAGTGGAATTCTTAATGAGGACATTGCGAGGTCATCGCTCCGGTTAACAAATAATATTTTAATGTCTTTTCGACGATTCAAATTGCTCCAGTCCATTCCATCAAAAGCCATCAAATTGAATGCGTATAAAGTACAAGAAGGGCACAGGTTCACCATCAACAGTCCAAACCTGTCTAGAATGTTTCGATGGAAATCACAAAGAAATCGGTTTTTTTCAGGCATCTTGGAAGTAGCCTTAGGTTTCCTTAATTTAATGGAGTTGACGTTGAACAGGGGTCGTGATAAATGCACAAGTGAAATCGTTGAAAAATTGCTATCCCCAACAGTGAGGCGGAAGGGCAAGCATGTTTGCCGCCACATGCATGTATGCTTTCACAAACACGAGTTGCGAAATTCTGGGGTAAGTCTTTACATTGTCTGGTGAGGTCTGCAAATCCATGGTGCGTTGTCTAGCAGCTTTGTTTGGCTTCTGGTTGCGGGTTTCTTTCTTTGATTTACGACCTAAAACGTTATTTGTTTAACATGCATTCGCATGACAGCTGTGACCATCAATCGTGTGCATTATCGCTCCGCTGGCAATGCTACGCAGTTGCCTACGTACCTCTCGCTGCATTTTACTGTCATTTAAACTGCCAGTTTTAAAGTATCTCAGTATGCATTTATTGTTTTGAATTAAAACAGCTGCAGCATTACCTTAAGGCCAGCAAGTGGCTCACATACACTGGCCTTTCATTCGTGGTTTGTGTTTAAACAGGGCCTTCAATTAGCGTCTATTTCCTGCACCAAGGTTTCATGTAGTTTGCCGGATTAAACTTAGTCAACTGTTTAGTTACTACTTGGCCAGATTTTTGCCAGGGCGACCACATCGTAAATTGCTAACCCTTCCATAACACTGCCGACTCTGCAATTCTAATTTCTTCCTTTTTAAATTTTTTGTTAATATTTTCTCTAATTCATTCATTATGTAAAAGGGTATTAGGATGCAAGAACATTTGGGCAGTCCCCGAAATATGTTCTGGCGCAGCGAAAGAAGTCTCGAAATATTCTAATAGCCAGTCGTTTTTATTTGCTGGCGAAAACTAATTACTATCTTTGGACTCGACAATTTTGCCGTAGATTTCCCAGTGCGGCAACCTTTTCGCTTGTAACGCCTATTTCCAAATTTCGAGACAAGGTCCTTCGATTTTACACGGACCTTGCATTCTACTATTTCTGATGCTTTACTAATTGACAAGAGGTATATCAGTCACATGTATTTGTGACTTGCAAAAACGTAGGCCTTTCCCGATTAGAGTTTTCGAATGGTTGTTTTTGTCTGTGTTAATTGCGTATTTTATGGTTTGGAGAGGCGAAAAGTTACCTGGGCGTCATTCTTTGATGCACAGAAGCAAAATAAAAATTCTGACTTACCCATGCCGTCAAATGAAGGTTTAAACGTCATTTGTCGTTTAATTAACTCAATTAAATTATGCTGTCACAAAATTGACATGACGGTGATTGTCTCTACGTGGTAGGAAGTCTGGCAGTTTGGCATTTGGAGACCTGTAAAATGCGCCTTAATCAGTAGCCTTAGCAAGAATCATAATTAGACGTGTCATGTAGTCATTCAGACACAATGCTGAGCCTGCCGCTGATCACTGAATAGCCTACTCGCTTTCGGTGAAAATTGAAAATGCCTGTTTTTGTCATTGGGGATGCGGGAGCTTATCTCAGTACCCTGGATTTAAGATCCAAAATCCACTTTTTGGGATGCAGGAATTCAATTAATATCCTAGCCCTGCAGACATAAAGTGGCACACTTAGAAAAATAGCAAGTAAGTTTAGTGTAATTGAAGAACCATTTGAGTAGAAGATTCGGAAAGGATTATCACATCACAATGTGGAGTGCTTGAGCGAAAAGAGTGTAACCCTGTTTAGTTTAAATTGCTGAGCAATATTGATTAATTGAGGTCACTCGTTCTGCATAAGTTCCGTTCACTGACGGAAGTTGCATATATCGATCCGACAATAAGGCATTCCTAAAAAGTACATTATTGACTTAGAAAGTCGAAAAGATGACAAAAGTCAATCGGAGTGCGGTTTACATTGGTTAAACAAAATGTTTACCAATTATCCTTCCAAACAGCTTCTTTTCTCACAGCTGCTTCAAAAAGTCCTGACTCATTTGCTCGACGTAGTATTTTGATATACTTCCTCAGAGTTGACCGCACTCTCGGCTGCCTCCTCCTAGTACCAAGGCGGAAGGTGCCATGTGGTTTTTCCTCTTGAGGTTGGATTGATGTGCTGGGCGAATCTATCCGGGCGGTTTTTCTGTCCGATTACACCCGCATAGCTCTTTGATTAGCTAGTGTGTACACACAGTTCCTTATTAATGCAATGTGATTGATATAAGTACAAACAGGCATGTACTAGCGGTGGGAAGGCTTTCTGACGGTGAAAATTACCAAAACTAGCATTAAGAGGTCTCTCCAACATGTAAGCAAGTGGCCTCTTTGAAACGTATCTAATTAAAGGACATTGTGAGTTTATTTTACGGGTTTAAGAGTTAAAAATGTTCTTTTTACACAATTATGTGCCTTTAGCCATATTATTGATTTCCGATTCTCAATGGATACTGGTCGGAACTAGTTTAAAAATTGAACCAGTCTAATAAAGCGGACTCAACAGGTGGATGAGGTTCTAAAGGTTTGGCTGTTGATCATGCTCAGTTGACCTGTGGTTTCGGTGCATTTTTTGATAAATATTTGCAGAATCCAAACGTTAAACTTTCATTTAAACAAAATCGGTTCGTGTGTTTGGGTCTATTGCAACGCATAGTAAAGCCTCAAGTCCAACAAAAGCCGACATTTTCACAACACTCCTGGCGAAACACTTGGAACTGCACGCTTTGTCGTGTGGCTAGTGCACTTCCACCAAGTTTCTTACATCTGCGTAACTTTTATTACTGATGGAAAGGGTCAACAGTATTTTAATAACTTCGATATTTGTAAACTCACCAAGGTTGCTTTATTAATCTATTTTTTATTCAAAAAGTATTCCGTAATGTAAAAAGAAGATTTTATTCCAAACAATTATGATTTTGGACGTCGGTGTAATGCGAAACGAGAATGTTCTCACATTTCTGAAGCCCGTTTAACTAGTCGGTTTATTGGGCTACTTTGACTTCACGTGTCTGGTGTTTCAGATGGCAGGCGGCCCAGCCAGCAGTATAACAGAATAGGCGTGGCCCAGCAGCAGGCTGCCAAGGGTCAAGTCTTCCCCTCTGCTGCCTCTCCACCTTCGCACGTAACCTGGGTGACGGGGCCGTTGCAGAAGGAACCCCCAAAGGAGTTTGTCCCGCAGCTGCTTGACCCCGAGCCGGCCTATCAGAAGCCGGCACCCGATGCCATACCTAGTCGTGCCCCCGCCTACCCTACACAGGGCGATGACGCCTTCAAGGTGAGCCTAGCATTCACATCGCTGGTCTTTGGCGTGCCTCCCAATTACTTCGGCTTTTACACATCCAAGGGAGACGTAGAAACGAATAAGTGAAACCAGTTATACAACTTGCCTCCCAACATTCCTACTTGCAGTGAATGATATCTAAGTATCTGTAATCTGACTTCGCGTTACTAAATGTTAAAGTTACTTTTGTGATAAAACACCACCTTGCTCTGCCATACACCTTTTACAGTGCGATTTTCAATTTGTATTTCCGTGTTGGCAACAAGAGTTTGTTGTGGGCCCCAGCATGTGGTCTTGAACCACGCCGCGGCCACGGAATTTACCCTGGCCCGATCACGCTTCCCTGGTACCTGCGATGAAGAAAATGACCGGAGAGGATGTGGACACAACCGTTTACTTCAGAGCTCAACCACGTTAGTGTCGTTCTTTCGTGTGTGGCGTTTCCGCCTGTGTATTTATACCTCAGATGCGTGAGTCATAGATGCACTAACATCGAGACCTAGGTGTGAGGCTAATCAAGAATAAATATTCGTGCTAATGAGGGAAAAGTTGAGGATCCGCGCGGCTGGCGACATGCTGCGAAAAGGGGGACCCTGTGTCGGAGGTGGAGCGACCGGATTAAGGGGTGTAAATAGACACGATTCACTACAAGTTCATCAATGGCTCTATCTGGTAAACTGCAGAAAATGAATTTGAGTGAATTTTCAAAGTTTGTGCTGTGTTGCTCAGAGTACCTCTGCTGGATATGAAGAGTCGAGATCACCTAGCTCATTTGGAGAGAAAATTAGAAAAAGGATTGTCTGCATGTTTTGCAAAGACTATATCATTAGGTGACGGTTCCGAAAGGCGAGTTAGGATGCAGAAGAATTCACGATTCATTTTAAAATCTTTTCTTGTTTAGAGCATCAGCCTTCAGAATCTGGTAGTTTGATTTTATCGCCGGATGAGGATGTTCTCGTAGTTAGGATTAACATACCCCTTACATGTTATGCTTCTTAAAGATCATTGTGACGTCACTACATTTAAAAGTAGTCTAATATGTAAAAAAACATTGAAATTCATTGCATTTGTCGGGTTAAAATAGCATGAAATCGTGCACCTCTGGGTATTAACATCATTTTCAATGGTGGTTCGACGAAACCTGACCTATATCGAGTGACTCCTGGTCAAATGCCACTTGTCAAGTTCTCGCAACCATGGGACCATTGAAGTTTGTTTTTTTTTCTTGTGTGTATTTTTATCTAAAGGCCTTCCAGAAGGTTGACGAACACGCAATGGCCGTGTCCTATCAGGAGCAGAACAGCTTCAATCAGCTGATCTGGCAGCTGATTTACGCAAGGAACATCACCTCGGACATCGAGCGTGTGCGGGCGATTTTCCTCTGGCTTTGTACCAAGGACCTGCACCAGATGAACTTTAATAATGTGTCCCCGGGCTCCCCTGAAGAGATACTCATGGGCATCAGAACTGGGAAGTCTACATACGCCCAAATCTTTCAAACACTGTGTCGGTAAGTTCGTGTTACAACAAGCTACCTGACGTCCTATCTTCAAATACTAACGTGTAAAATCGTAAACAGTCCCGTTTTACACCTGCAGAAGTAGCGCCGAAAATCAAATCCACTGATTCTGGCAGCAAAATCCTGAAAATTCAGCATTCACCAGGGAACATTTGTCGCTAGAATGCAATTGGCTTAGGCATGACGTCAACACGGCGGCTGCAGGCTTCGTGACTGGATCATGAATTAAGATAGTAGCAGAAATCGAACTGATGGTCGGGACTTTGTCGTAATGTAAGGGTTCGGAATATGGGAGAAATAACTTCAAATTCTAACAAGCAAAATTGGATTATTCTGTGTGCTAGTGACTGTTCACCGATTCTGAGATCGAAAGTAATAAATTTTCCTTAAAGATATATATAACGTTCTGTGCTGTTGCCGAACGTCGTAAGCGTCCTTGAAACATCTGCGGCAATGAAACAGGTAAATAACCAGGTGGCTGGTAGCGATTCGGAGAATTTGGCAAAAAGATTTATCCAATTAGGCTGCTTACTTGGTTCAAACGTGACTATAAAGATCGAGTTAGCGTTTGTTCTGTAAACTTAATGCTTTGTCAGTCACATTTCGATAATTCAGAGATGTGGGGCGTGGCCTTTTCATTATGGAATTGTCAAAGCCAACAATTAACAGGCATAATCTCACCCTTTCCTGCACACTTTTCGATTCTACTGCTAAATAAATGAGCAGCTTTTTGTTTTTGAGTTCTGTCGCAGGAATGTTTTTGCAATACCGATTAAATTCCTCTCACCCGTCATCCGAAAACCGGGTAAACCAACCTCCATGTCCACACTAAACTAAGAGACGTAAGTAAGACGTAATAACATGGAAAAAGCATAATGTTGACCAATCTTTTAGAAGCAAGTGGTTGAATTTGTGTAAGGGAGGTACGCCTCAATAGAATTTATTTCGCAACATTCCTCTGTTTGTTCAATTATCAGGGATGATTTCCATTTAATTAAAAATTCGGATTCACTGTGGAAAGAGCAAACAGGTAGCTGAAATTGAGAGTCAAACTAGCGTATTAACTTGAAGTGGTGCTAATTCAGAACTCCACAATAAGCGTATCGGTAAGTTCGACTGCATGCTTTAGTTCCAAATCATCAGGTCCAGAATTAGGCGCAGGCATCCACAACAAAATGGTTTGACTTACATCCTACAAACACACACCTCTGAAAATTCGGACAGAGGGTAAAGTTTGGCCACTAGAACAAACGGTTCTGCTGAATTGGAACGCGTCACTTCACATTTGGCTAAATCCCATGATGAATTCCGCCAACCAGATGCTTGGAAAGTGCAGATTATCAAGAGCCCTTGATGAAAAAGAAACTTAACTAACCTGTGTGTGGGCCCTAGATTAACGCACCATTGATCGCTCCTGTATCTTTTCTCCGTAAATTATGCTTGACCTTGAAACATGTGATCTGCTTCATTAGTCTGTTTTAATTGCTAGTTTTGTTCGAGGGTGCATCTTCAATGAAGGACCGTTGGCGAACAATTAAAAAAACTAAAGACCTCGCTGTGCGACGAATCCTTTTAGAAGTGACTTTAACTGGCCGACAATGATTTAGGCGTTGGTTTCTTTAGGTACGCCAATTTGCACTGTAAGCTGCTGTTGGGCTACGCCAAGGGAGCTGATTACTCTCCTGGCATGCGGTTTTCGGGCGCGTCGACAGGCCAGCACTCATGGAACGCCGTCCTCGTGGACGGAACCTGGCGTCTCGTGGACTGCCATTGGGCCGCCCGTCGTCTCATCGTGAAACGCGCAAGTGTGGAGAACGTGCGCTACATCCTCGACACCTTCTACTTCCTGGCGAACCCCAGTCAACTTATCTACACCCACTTCCCGCATGACAAGGACTGGCAGCTACTGCACCATCCAATCACGCTGGAGGTAGGGTCCATCGACTAATCAGACATCATCGTTATTATCAAGTAGTTGGTTGGGTACGCTGGGATCTGATGTGCAGTAGCTATTATTAGATTACTCGAATTCCCGTTCCTTCTTTACCTGATTGCAATTTTCAACCCTTTTAGCTGATATGTCCCTTTTAAAGTGTGTTGACTTGATGGGTAATTTCGGTTTTCACAAATCGACAGTGCAATATTTGGTTTGGAAGACTCTTGTTAAAGTAATGGTTTCCTACTATTCAAGGAAGCAGAGAAAATTGTGCTTACTTTTGTTCACAGCTGGTAGCAATGGGTCATTTTTAACAAATACAAGAACAAACATTGTCAACATGTGCGTCTTCTTTTTCACCAAGGCAAAAAGGGTTCTGACACTCACAAACACGGATCTCGAGTCTACTTTGTTGACTGTTTGACAGAAAGCACGTGACAGAATTGGTTCGTAAGATATTTTACACAGAGAATATTAACTGTATAAATTTACACTGGACTGCCATGCAAACTGCACAAATGACTGCAGAGAAGTTCAGTGTAACATCCAAAAAAACGGTAAGAGTTGACAGATCGCAAAGAAATTAAGTTCAATTAAAGCAATACCGATATTCACATATCTTAGGTAACTCATGAGAACTTGTTGCTGTTTGACCGAAGAATGATGTAACATCCATGAATGTTTAAAGTTCCTTATGACGACGTCGATCTGAAATGGCATTTAGTTACCCTGAGTTGGTCGCTGGAATCAGAAATTATCTCATCACAGAATCATGCTTTCTTGCCAGCCTGTTTAGATTTGTACTGATTTCTTTGAATAAAATTCACCTTTTTTATTTGTGTCCATCCTGCTAATTTTTATTCTCCAGGAATTCGAGACGTTGCCACTGGTGAAGTCGGCGTTCTTCAAGTACAACTTAAGCCTACTGAGCCATCGCACCGCAGTCATACTTTTCTCCGACCCTGAGGTCCGAGTCGTGGTTGGCTTCCCCAAGGACGCGGAGAACTCGTTCTTGTTCACCATCGGTCTCTCCTTCGACGACAATGACTCAGCTGAGCATTACAAGAATGTCTCTCTCATGTGAGTTCACTCTGTTGCCTTTAGCGATCGCGTTTCGGGTCAATGGCTTGATCTGCGCTTGGCTAGAATGTCCTGCATATCTTGGTCCAATGTTGCGGCTTTTACCGATTTTGCGTAGGATTGCATCAGCTGCCTGCGTTGCATTCGTGTAGGCACAATTAAAAAAATTGATTTGATTTTGGGTCGTGTGACCACTCGGTAAAAAAGAAGAGGAATTTTGACGCAGCGCGGCGTGCAAATGATCAGGCAGAACGAGTGGAGAGCCGCTGCCAATCGCAAATGTCAGCTGTCAGCTGACCACTACTTCTTTGACAGGTTGTGTTCAGTTATTTCTTTTTCACCAAGCACTAGACATTACAAGACCACATTCTTGAATGCAAGCATCTACTTGTGGAGTAGGTAAGATTGCCTTCAATTTCAAATCAATAACCCCGATTACATGGGACATTTGCCCCTAAATTTATATTGAAGGCATGTCCACTAATGATGTTTGCCACTAACTACTTGTTGTCATCGTTTAGGAGGCTCGTACATACCTCACCTGGTTTTGGTATTCCCTTAGGCGATACACGCGCCAGGAAGTAATAGCTCAAGAGAGCTGCGTGGCCTTCTACATTCGACCACCACGTCCAGGTGCCTACAAACTGTTGATTTATGCTAAGCAGCGGGACAGTGGAAGCAACCAGGACGTGGAGACGGCCTCAGTTGGGTCCAACGCCTCGAGTGGGGAGAAGAACCTGTACGGCGCGGTGTGCGAGTACCGCCTCATGGCCCGCGTGCCTGCTAACGCCTGCCTTCCGCCCTTCCCACCCTGCCAGACTGGCAACTACGGCGCAACTGAGGTTAGCGGTGTCTGGTAAACTGTAAAACGCGCCTTACGTTACCACCTCAATCAAAATATCACCACCCGAGTGTACTGAGAAGAGTCTGCGAGTTGGATTTTTGTTCCAGGATGAGTGACTGCGTCCATTTTATGATGCTGACATCTCCTAGAGTGAAGTACAAAACTGTCATCAAACTTACGTGGATATATTGGCGAAGCTACTGTCTAGCAAGTTGTTCTTGCTCGAAGCCCCGAAGGCGAACAGCACCGATTAATACCATCCAGTTTGGTTTGTTGGCAGTTTCGCACAAGACTTCACCGATTAAATGTAGTCGCACGCATCAGATTACTCATTACTAATACCCCATTTGAAGCCTAATCAGTCGGCAAGGCCTTGTACGCGACATTAATATTTCGATGGATAGCGTTCAAAGATGCGTTTACGTGGTCCAAAGCATAAAAAGAGATTCAGGACCAGAACACACATTTTTAAAGGGGTTTATCCGCTGTGGTAAGCTTCTTGTGCCACCATATTCATCTGGATGCTCTTATTTGCAGATGGCAAAGCGCTTCAACGTAGTTCCCCACACGCAGGAGGCGACGCTGCGCGCGCAAGGCGGCATAGCGGAGGTTCGCTTCGGCCTGGCCCCGGGCACCCGGCAGCCCATGCCCCGGATAATGAGTCGGCTTCACTGCAGTCTCATGTCCGATGACGCCCTTGAGAACTGCATCCTCCAGAGGGTGGTCAAAGACGGCACCGAGACGGTCATCACCGTCTTCCTTCCCGACGCCGGCGAATTCGGCCTCGAGGTCTACGCCAACGACCCTGAGAGGGACGGATCCTCGTTTTTCGCAGTAAGACCATGGGATTACTCTTCAGACTTACCAAGAGTGCTTGCCGATTCGCCTTGTAGAAGCCCAGGCCTGATGGAACACTGCAATCTTACCTCCTCGCAAACTAATTTTAAGACACGTGTTTTAGCACTTGAGATGTGCATTCCCACACACCCACAATCAAAAGGAATTTCAGGATCTCTTACCTCAAACAAAACTTGCAAACTCATCTGAACCTAGCGGTTTTTGTAATAAACCAAACAATTGTTATTGCTAGTGAAGGATGTCTTGCACGCATGAGAAAACACAGGTAATTACATGCAATCGAAGCGCCTAACGGCGGAAAACGTGACTATTTTGTGGAAATGTATTTTTCCATTAATTTCACACAAACTAAATGATGGGGGATCGGATTGCTTCCCCCTCCCGTAAGCGCCAGTAAAAGTCCATGTAGCTCTTTGTGCAAAATTCCATGGGATATTTCTGGGACACTTAGCTGAAAACGGAAAAAAATCACAATGACTTATCGATAGTAATTTTTCAGCTTCTTAAACACTTTTGGAAAACTAAACAATGCAACTTGCTTCAGATTTCAGAATAGAACTTTAACGCGTAAATGTGGCCTAAATGGGTAGCCACACCATGAGGATTAGCTACCAGGCACACGGTTGAAGAATAGTCGGAAGAACCGGATGCATTCTATACTGCCACATAAAAATTCAGAGGGCTGGAGTGTAGGGAGAGGCAGAGCTGGGAGGGGAAGGGATGGCCGTGAGAGGGGTAGAAATAATTCTTTTCATTGGAAATCCACAACCTACATGGGTTTTTTTCAAATCTTTCTTCATAGCTTATGTGTCATAGTGACCACTTTTTGTAATTACACATTACCGAGCCGCTTCTCGACACGCAGATATGGCAGTTCCTGATCACATCTGAAGTACCCTCGGCGGCACGTGGTCTCCCCAATCTACCAGCAAGTTACCTCGGTCCCGCAGCGCGATTCTACGAGCTCGGCCTCCAAACCGTCAGTCACCCTGATCCCCTCATCAAGGCGGACGCCGGAGAACTTCGTATCCAACTTGCCTACCAGCCACAACGCCCGCTAAAGATGATGGCACAGCTAATATACGCCTCCAATAACGCCAGCGATGACCATTCGCAAATGGTAAGTCGAAATCAATTGGGATACACCGGGGTTTTTTCGCATGTTCTCATCACATTCTTGGGGATGCTTCCGTTTGTGAAGAGTTGTAACGAAGTGCTCGCCCAACGGCCCTGCCGGCGTGTGCTTTATCCAACCCATGACGACGGTCGCGTACATCCGGAACCGTTTTTGTACCAGGCCCCAACAGTAGACCGACGTAATTTACTGCCTTAGGTCGCCTCCCAAGATGCTACTCAGTGCTGAGGCAAGACGCTACGACATCCGGGAACTTTTTGCTAATTTACTGCCTTTTGCGGCCTATTATGGGGAATAATTAGCAATAAAATTTGTAGTAGGCAGTCTAGTTGAACGACGTGTAAAATCTCAAACTCCGATGCATGTTTACGTTATGATAAAACTTAGTAAATGGCAAGCTTGCATGGTGACAAGGTGTTACGTTTGCCCGTGACAAAGGGAAAACCACTCAGACAGCGGTACCAGATCCCTTGTTGACGCTAGAACCGACCTTCCCACGCTAAAACAAGAACAAGACCAAAGCTCGTGTGGAGATCTTTAACCACGTCAGCCACGTGCGGAGTAAGTTGTCAAAAGTGTACACTAATTCGAGTCAAGGTTGACCTTGACCTGATAAAAAGCGTCATAAAACACATGTTAGTGAATTAGTGTAAATAATGCCAGAAACCAACGACGAGCAATCTTGGGGAAGCGTGGATCCCTAACACAAGGTTAAACGGACTGACCAGACACTACTCCCATCCTAAAGATGTCGTCAATCTAGCGGTTTCCGCACATGCAGTGTATTTTCGGGTTTTATTTTGCGCTGCTAAAAGATTGGCTGGTTGGAAGGTAAGTTAACTTGTGGAAATCAAGCCAGACGCAAGTCAAACACCTTCCTTGTGGCCACAGGTGCTGCAACAGATGCGTGTGGGCCAGGTGTACTTCATGGTGCGAATCCCGAGACTGGGCTTCTTCAAACTTCAAATCTACGCCCTCCCAGAGGGCGACCGCAACGACTCCCTGCCAGGCGTCTACAACTACCTCATCGAGGCCACAAAGACGACGCACAGGGTTCGTGGCCAACTAATGCCGTTCCCGCAGCAGTTTGCACACTGGCGGCGCAGCGGCTGCTTCCTCGACTCGCCCACGGAGGGCATTCTGGGGCTGGACGCGAGCGGGCGTCTGATGGCCAACCCGCCCGCCGAATTGCCCTTCAGTCTGGCGGTGCCGAGCGCGCACACCGTCGCCGTCGTGGTGGACGACGACTGGACGTACCTGGAGGCGCGCGGCGACCGATGGGAGGGCAACGTGCCCATGCGCGCGCACTGGGGCCGCCAGTCGCGGCTCTCCGTCTGTGCCTGCTACTCCGAGCACGACGCCACCTTCAGCACCCTACTTGAATACTCCATTGCACACTGACATGCGTATTTTTATACACTCACCCGCAAACACGCGTGCAAACACGCCACATTTACATACTTACACGTTTTCTACGTGTAAGCCCAAGCTTAAAAACAGCTACCACAAGAACCGAATAAATACTGTAATTATTATTTATCACTCTTTCAGACTGCGTTAGTGATTTCGCCCTTATCTACAAATGATCCAATATACGTCTACTCACAGACTTTCATTACCAAGTCAGGTGGTTTTAAGTGCATCGTCAAATTCGACCACTGCGGCACTTACTACTTTTGATGGATACTCCTTTTTATTGTAGGGTCAAAAAAACTAGGATGTGGTTAAACTAAAGCCATGACGGAAACGTATCTCTTTTTGAAATTGAATCTGTGATTAAGAACAGATTGTGCGGAATGGTAAAAATCAACGTGTAAGTAATTTTTGCGTCTAGCAAAATACACATTATAAAGTGGAAAAGTAATCAGAAGAAGTAAATTTCAAGAAGTGTGGTTTGCTGAACGACATTTCTGACTAGCCTGTAAACACATCTGCTGGTTTAACCTCCTGAATGGGAATAATGTCATTCTCATCTTCCAGTCCATTTTTTGTGCCAACTGTTGCCGACGGTAACGGCTTAGGTACACTGGTTCGACGATAGCGTCGTAGTAAGGATTCACAGAGGGTCAGGCAGTTAAGTGTTAGGATGACTGTCACGACGAACACCACACCGGCGATCCATGGATATCGGTACAGCAACCATGTGAGCGGACTCAACACGGCAGAAATAATGAGGGTTGCGGAGTACCAGCGTAAGCCGTTTGTCTCCAAAACCAGGCGTCCGGAGCCTGTGGGAAATTCCTAAATGAGCAGAATACATTACACCACAACAAACACACTACTTGCGCTAATAAGTGCCGTGATTATTTTAGCCACCTTGATGCCGAATGGTATGGGCAAAGACGGATTACCGGGGATGAGGGCGGACACTCACTCGACAATATTAATGCTTCTATTACAACAATTTCAGTTTGAGGGCTTCGTTAAATACTAAAAACGGAGATGCAAAGATGACGCTACTTCTAGATGAAATTAAGAAAATATGAAAAATTGGTAGGTGCCTGTTGGCATGCCGCTAACTGCCATAAGCGGTAAAGCCTGATTGCGGGAGTTAGGCAGTCACGCCAGAACTCACACTGGGGCCCCAAAACCACCTAATGTAAACCGATGAAACGTCAAATCGAGATCAGAAATTCCACCCGGTTGCTAACAAGGGATGATTCAAACCTACCTGATTATCGACGTAATCACTGGAGAGGACGGTGGTGAGCGTCTGCTCCTTTTTCCATAAGCGCAAAAGATAAAGCGGGGCATACAACAGTGTATCCGCTGTATCAATCAACCACGGTCTGTAAATTGGTAGTAGCTAGAAAAAAAAAACAAGAGCAAAGACTGAGGCTAGAGATCCGGGAAAATGCACAAATTCAACTACCCACAGCATCAATCACCTGTACTAAAGCCTTGGCATGCCAAAGCACACAAAAAACAGCCAGTTACGTTCGACGAAGGCTGCTAGATAGCAAAAATTCCAACTTACGGTGTTGGAGAGAGTAGTTGAGTGATTTCCATGCATGGAATAAAGGTTTAATCTTAAGGATGACATATCTAAAAAAATTCAAGAAAGTGACTAACTCCAATGCATAATTGCGACCCCATAGATTACGGTAGAAACCGTGGTGTTATTCTCGACATAGTGACAAAAATGTATTGAAAATTTTCTGAATGTGTTGAAACTTAAGTCTGGTAGGATTATCGGCAAAAAGATTAAAGATGATCGCGGTTATAGAGAGCAGTCATTAGTTACACCCGACAAGAAAAGGAGAGGGGAAGAGCATTTAAAATTTGTGTGTGACACAGTTAAGTCGGCAATTTACGTCAAAAACTATTGTCATTATGAAAAGGAGAGCAAAATCAATATTGACAGAAACAAAAAATCCCTTACGAACTAAGTACCTACCTACGTCGTGATTATGTGGAGAGTCTGGTACTGACATATGTACCACAAGTTTGTATTCCTGACTAGCAGTGAAAAACTACAACAGAAAAGAAGACGGTCGTTGAGGTCTGGTGACACAGGAATGACTTTCTATAAATTTTCCAGTCCTCAAATGGCATTAGCCATGACTTCACTAGCTTTCAGCTGATGAAAATATCGCAAAGAAATTAACTTAGTCACAGGGCTTAATGATTTCGTGTAAAACCAAATTAGGATTTCCCCAGATAAACGCAGTGGTCCCTCGTAAAAAAAGTAGCGCTGGTGGGTAAACAGGGACACGGCACAAATAGGGTGGGTGGACTTCTTGTAAAAGACTTGGTAAGTTTACTTTCCTTCACTCAAAAATCTGCAGTAAATATAATACGACACGTTACAACGATACAAGTTGCCACGAACTAAATCATAATTCTTTCGTGGTAAATACAACTGACCACAGGTGATTCATCGTTTACCATATCACGATGGCGGCGCACAAAATTAGACAATCGAAGTAAAGGACGACACAGGTTACATTTGAAGCAAAGCATACGAACTCACTGAGGAGCCTCTGTCTGAAAGAGGGAAGACGTTCGTCGAAAATATCCGCCCATGTTTTCCGGAAGACCTATTTAGCATGATGACAATAAATTGTGACAAAAGTACTCAAAGCTCAGGTGAATTTCATGGACGCTTCCTACATTAGGAACATATACTTTGCAAATGATGAAAAATACGACAGATGCCCAGAGCAAAAATAGAATCTGAAGACCCACGAAGTAACTCAACTTTCCAAATACACCGCTAATTAAGCCTCTGTGAGTGCTTGAGGAAACAGGTGTCATTAAGTTTGTGTCTAAAAGAGATAAAGATAACCTCGAAAGTAATATATATTATCAAAACGCACGCAAAATTATTGAAGAGTGGATAAGTGTCAATTCATCAACACTGTGCAATCAGAAAAAGAAATACGTGCAGGTCCATACTGGTCATTCACTTTTTTTACCGTTTTAGTAGCAGTTAATTAAGATGCTACGTATGCACTTGTGTGCACAGAGTTCCAATATTTTTGTTATGGATCAAAGGCAATGTGCTAAGAGAAAACGCAACTCAGTAAAAGACACAACAGAATAAAAAACGGATTTTTCGGATTACAGATTAAATTATATTAGTATTTAAAAATTAACCGACTAATTAAGGAATATAGCTTAAAGTATACAGAAAAATTCTTAAACTCGTCGGTCAATTAACGCACACCAGGCTAGACCGTTCTTTGTACTGCTGTATCCTCCCGCCCTCCCTCAAGACGCGCCTGCTGGTAAACCCTGACCTCACCAACGGCCCTCCTCTCCGTTTCGACACAAGTCACACCCTTATGGCCTATTCCTATTGCCATTGTGACTGGTAGTGTGAAATACGCCAGGTCCTTGTTAATCCACTTTCTGTCGCAAGTCTGGTAGTAAGCCCTGATGGTTTGACTATGCCTTAGAAACAAACCTGAAATAACCTCTTCTAGGTCCCCTCTAGGTAAGCACACCACAGAATTCATACCCAAATGATAACCAACATTGTGCAAGACAGATTTATAGATAAACCCATTCGTATCTATTTAATTTCGTTTCCTGAAAATAATCGCAAATTGTAAATAGTGAAGCGACGTACAGAATTGGTGTGTAAGGGCGCAGACATATTGATAGACATCAGAAGGGAGAAGCAAATTATAAGCGGCGCAAACAACGTGGTAGACTCGGATGGATGGTGCCTAACGTGTGTTCCTGGCTTATGATTAGTCAGTAAAGCCTTGTCTGTGGTACCAGTCCTATACACACTACGGCTTGGGTAGTCTACACTAAGGCTTAGAGTTGCTGGACCGCGCTAACCACAGCCTACTCTCTGTTTCTGTGAGATTGAATGGTCTGGGAGGAAAATTAACACCCAAAAAGAGACCAGAATAGATTGAAAGCGGCATAAAGTAAATATCGCAGACAGCAAGGTGGATTCGAATAGACGCTGCTTCATTTACGGTTCTGAACTGTGATTATTTATAGAACAATGTCAGTTTTACCTGTCTTCATCATACCAGGACTCTGATATTCTACGATAAAATACTTACATTTAATGTAATAATACACACATTTTAGGCCATAAAGATAAGCTAAAACATTTTTTAACTAAGTAAAAGCATGCTAAAGCGTCGGTGCGAGTAAAACACGGCAAACGAAAAAAGTATAATAATGCTTATTTATCAGTACCTCTATTTTCTTACCAATACTAATTGCAATCATTTTATTACATTTTAGTACCGGAGGTATAGAACTTATTGAATGGTATAAATTAGGCAGGTGTACTCAAGTTATTTTGAGAACTGCAGTCTACGTTGGGTAGCTAAAATATATCATTTCAACGACACAGATTTCGCCACTCTTATAGCCAACCAACTAAATTAATTAGGCTTGCTGTACATTTAGTATTACCCCTGGGAGGAAACCAATCGTGTTCACAATTGCAAAGCATAATTTCTAGAAGTGGCTTTTATAACAACGTAAGCTTACCATAGCCAGAATCAAAACATGTAATTTTAACTATTTTCTACACTGAAAGATTTACATTAACGCCTCAAAACATGAATGTGGTTCCACTCAATTCAGAATATATACTGCGTCCTTAGAGATATAACGTTAAATAATATGTGTCTGGTGTCCTTAAACCATATAACTTAGTTAGGTCACTGTTAATAACTTTCTTTACACAAATTTGTTTGTGTTAATCTCTTCCAAGATTTAGTATTGTAGGATACGGTATCACTAGCGCTTTGTTTGGTTCTCAAGGCCATGTGTGATTTAGAAAAGACAAAAGGGAAGCGTCATTTTGAAAGCAAGAGAACGTCACTATTTGGAAGCGAAAACAGTGATAAAATATCTGAAGTTATTTCATCTCCAAAATGCTTTTCCAGTAAATGGTTTTTAACAGTTAATAGCCCCAACAGAACCCAAAAACGGTGAGATCTCCGGAAAGTCGTCTAATTACGGTGACTGGTGGAAACCTACAGAAACCTCACCTTTGGAAGATGTACGCTAATTTTTTTAAATTTAGTTGCAAAATTGCAGTTACGTAGTCGTGATATCGCCTTTCTCTCGAAACAATCATCTAGGTTAAACGACATTGCGGTACCAAAATATTTGTATCTTAAATCCTTCATATAGGGGTTCAGCAGAACTTCAGTTGGAAGGCAAAATTCTGAGGAATGCGGTATTTCGGACAAGAATGGTAACATGCTTTATATTTTTTACCGAAGCTATGCGTCATATAATTCTTGCACCCACAGGATCTTGGTAACAATTTCCATCATATTTTTTTCCAAAATTCTGTATATTTTCAGCTTTATATTACCAAATAGCTGTTTAATCATGTCTTGCATTTATTCAAATATGATTAATGCATGATTTGTATCATAAGTTTAGCAAATCCAGTCTAATTTACAGTGCGGAAGTTTTGATACATTTTTCAATCCAGCACGTGAAGATGAGACACAATGATTTCGTGAAGTTAAGTTTATAAAAATTATACTAGCGCCAATGCTTCAAACAAAACATTCTCAGAATATATTATCAAACATCTTAGCACTTATAGGCAAGTTTGTTTTACAGCTACCTATTGTAACCCTCTCCAGGTCGTTTTTCACAAACCTAATGCCGAACCAATTTTGTCGTCAGGCTTGACTTAGTACTTGTACAACTGACCTTAGCATGTTTTCATACTTTCTACTTATGCGTTAATTAGGCATCACATAAATTTATGGGTTATAATCGTTCATCATATACTTCGTCATTTTGTAGAAACACTAAATGTAAACAATAACAGCACAACGGAACAAACTCAGACTGCTTCGTCTTATGCTTCAGGAAGTCAAAACGTATGTAAATTTCATTTAAATGGCGTAACAAACTTGAATAAATGCCTATTCTTTATCAACACAGGTGTTTACCGAAAATACGGTTTCTAATCAACACTCTTGTAAGGGTGACGAAAAACAACCTGGAGCAGAAATTCCTAATGAGCTAGAATTCGTTGGTTCTGACCTTATTCGAGAGGCAGAGGCTCGTGCAAAGGCACGCTCAGTAGTAAACGAACAGGCAAATTGTGCACAAGAAAGAGGCTCTTTTAAGCTAGGGGAAATGCAGGACACTGACGTCAAGAAACTGACGTCAGGAATTAATAACAAATTCAAAAATTTTGAATCAATTGATAAGCTTGAACCAACGCGGCCTACTGCTGATAATACGAATCAGACGCAAAAGGAATTGCTTGAAAGAAGAATGAGCGAAAGGCCACCAGAATCTCACACGGTGAGACCACCGTGGTTTACAGAGGAGAAGAAATCTCATCGTTCCGCACCCAATTCAAAGACTAAACCAGGACCTGAACAAAACTGGGGTTTTCAGCGAACGTGTAACCAAATAGACTTCCCAACATATTCTGCCAAGGAGATGCGAGTATGTGTTTTGCAGCTTGCGTTTCACGTTACTACTTTCCTTGTGTAAAACATGATATGCTTTGTTTCATTTGCATCTTCTATAAGCAACACTTTAGGAAAGCTTATATGCACGTCCTGTTCTACATCATTCGCAGACTTCAATTTGTCTAAGATTTTATCATTAGAAAGATGCAAAGTTATAAGTTTAGAAATTTTTGACGTAGATACAAGCTTCGCCCTCTACATAACCACAAATACTTACTACACAAGTCTTTTTAGCGCTACTTTAAGGCAACTTTGTTGTTTTGGACTTTCCTTCAATTTATCCGCCTGCCGAAAACTTATTTTTCTTCAAATTTTAAGGATGCTCGACCGATTGTAGTGGGTTCGAGGCACGAGAAATGCAGTTGGATGCCGAGCCTTGCACCGGATTTCATTGCTGAGAAACGAAATGTGGGACGGCCGTTATCGGACAAACTGCTTCCTAGTGGAGACAGCGCAGCGGGCCGAGCGTCCACCTCAATTGTCTCCCGTAATGCGGTACGTCAGATGGCTGTCCGACATTGACATCGAAGCAGTAACCCCAGATTTTTTTATGAGAACCGCCAAGTCAGTGGGCATAGTTAACCAAGATTATACAGGTTTTGTATCTGGTTGTAAACCAATCCAAACGTTGACGAATCACATGCTGAGTGTTACCAGACCAAACGATCAAGAAAAGAATCCTGAGTCTTGTTCTGGACTTAAAACTTTTATCTAATCTGATAACATGAAAATGCAGAACCCATTACGACACGCTACTTTTTCCTTTAAGTACTCACTTCACGTTGTATTACTTTGGCCACTCACAGCGCTCTTTATTGTTTTAGAATGATGTCAACATTCCACCGTACCCGAAAATATCGGCTCCCTACGCAATGGACTAAGTGTAACACAGCAATCCTTCCTAACGTCGGCCTTTAGTAAAAATAAAATTTCGGCACAAATGACTCCCTAGCCATAAATAATCTCCTTAGGTGGCCATCTGTTAATTCGAAAATTAGTGTTTAGCCCTTATTCACATAATTAAGGGGTTCAGTCACGTATAAGTGGAGTACAGAAGGGAACTAACCGTAGGCCATCAACTGGAAGCAGACGAACGTGCGCCATGCACGCAATGTGGGCTAAGAAACACGATTTCACCTGACGAATAAGGGCAGCTAACGATTACCCCAGAGAATCACAGTACACTAACCTCGAAAATACGTATGAATAACGTGCAGATCGATTCCTCGTGGCGACATCGGGACAGTTGTGATTAATTGGTAGATTCAGTAAATGCCATGAGCTGTTTTATTGACAAATCACAGCCTTTTCAGTAAAAGGCATGGGCGAAACGCCAGGATAAAGTTTGTCCTGCTTTTAAGTCACAATAAATTCAGTTTGGTACTTAAATAATAACCGTTTGGAAGCAAGGAAATGACGTCGACTGAGATATATCTTGAGAAAAGTGGAAATGTAAATGGGACGTCGTCATCCATCTTGACATGTATTTATACGCCTTCACAGGCCGCAAAGCCCGGCTGAGTTATTTTAGCAATGGCTGAGTTTATAGCAACGTCCTGCCACCACCAAACCCATCGGCATATAAGGCACCATGGAGCTGAGAGATTACAGCACTCCGCCAACTACAATTGGCCTGAAGTAACTTAAAGGACCATCCGAGTTAATTTCTTGTGCCGTCTATTCGCACAGTAATAGTTTCGGAACATGAGATACAATAGACGACGAGCATCTACTACGTGTCATGTTAACTGGCCAAACGGTCATTCTTTGTGCTGCATTTCACTTTTTTAAAGTGAAATGCAAAACCTAGTAAGACGTTTTGGCCCTTGTAAGCTATCTGAGGCTCAAACGCACACTTAGCAAACACCATCGGCAAAATCACACTCGAAAAGAGACCGACCATAGCGCAGCATCGAAGGCGGACTAGAACTGCTTCAGAACGCGGATACCTGAAGCAGCGTCTGTCACGGACAAAAGTAAAACCAAAATTTATTTTCGTGCAGTGTTCATATTTACCAGATGCAGGATTATAAAATTACAAAGTGATATTGAATTGTTGACGAAAATTACATCGATAAAATCTGCTTGATCATGCGAAAACGTCTTTGTTGTCTAAAATCTCTTTGAGACTGGCCCGATCCAGAGGAATACTTACCAATTCAGACCCGTCATTGTTCTAAAAATTGGCACAAACAAACACTAGATTAGGTCTAGGGAATAGTTTTCCGTTCACTGGCAATAAAATTTGTCGAGGAATAGTAACGAACGAATGCAGTGTGGACACTGCCTTCACCTCAAAACGATTTTAGGGAAAAATCGAGCGGAGTACAAAACAGTCAAAGCTCCTTACAATGAGACCTTAAAGTGGCCATGAAGAAGGCACGATCAACAATGATGCCGAATGAAATTCCATGTTATGAAACAAACAGGATTCGCATCACACCGCGAGGGGCATTACCACAGCCCGTTTCATCGAGCGAACCGCATGGTGATAGCAGATTAAAACTATCAACTATCACAAGATAAGATAGTGCGACCAAATATTGAGTAGGTGACACTCAGGAAGCTCATTATGAAAGACGCGCGTACGAGGGTTGTGGGTCTCATTCCAGCAGACGTAATTAACCAAACTAGCGAAGTTACACGCCGATCTCGCCATCGGCGGAACTGAAGACGCGGAAATAAATATACCAAAACGCACCTTTGAGAATTTAATGAGCTTATGGTCTTTGAACTCAGTCAGCTGTGCCCTCAAAGTGACTTCGTTGCTGGCCAAAAACGCGTCGCGGCAGCGCCAATAAAGCTCTTCCAGAGGCATCCCCTTGGCGGCTGAAAATTAAACAAATTAACACAATTTATAAGAGGAAAGAGAATGAAGACAGAAAGACTAAGTATAAATACAGAGGGCAAATGAGGACTAGTGTTACAGAATAATGAAAGTTGGAGAACCTGATCTGTCCAAATTAAAAAGTCGAATTTAATTTGCACAAAATGAAATTGAAGCAAAAAGACTGGTGCCCTTCGAGTCTTTAAAATCTTGTACCCAATTTCCGTACCCGCATTTTCTGTTGCTGTATTTGACGTCTTCTGGGATTTTTTAGCATTGTTAGTCTTCTTGAGAGACTTTGTCTGGGGTCCGTCTTCGGCCTCCTCAATCGCTTGCAATTGGTATTCAACAAGCAACCGAAAGATGCTCCGAGCATTCTGCGTCAGTGAGACCATTAAGTGGCGAAGACGTGTGAGTGCCACGACGTCTACGTCAGCAGCGTTTATGAAGAGGTGTCGATCCACCAGCTGGGCACTCGTGTTGCCCGCAAGAATTTGTTGCAGGAGATGACTGTGAGCGTATCCCGCCTCCACCGAGTACGGTTCCAGCGTTGTGCAGTCCTCCCACAACCAAGAGAACCGCGTTACATCAGTCTGCGACCATACTGGCATGGGGGGAAACACATAGAAATGGTGTAAATATGCGAATTGATCCCAAAATGAAAAACAGAACTGACAAGTGCAAGCAGTGTTCTTAACAGTCTAAGTTACATAAAACCACCGTAAATTGCACATTGTTATTTGAAAATGAGCCAGCGACGAGCTCAGTCCGCAAATTCATTCTCACAGATAACTTTTTTTTAGAACAACTCTGCAAACTCACACAAGGGCAAATTAATATGATCCATTGTGGCAACTAGATGAATATGAGGAACTGCTGCAAGACGAGCTAAGACCGCCTGAGCCCTGGCAGTGCGAAAATTCTTTCCATCTATGCAGTTCAACAGTATATATAATGGAGAACCGGCTGCCGCTGCAAGTCAAATTTATTAATCAGTAGAACAGTTAAATAAATAGATACCACGTCATCCACCAACTGACCAGATCGGGAAAAGTATTCGACTATTAAGTCCAAGCGTTTGAGCATGGCAGTGGGAGCATTTTCCAACTGCAGGACATCATCTACAATCACATTCAGGATCTAAAGAGGGCAGAACTAAATGAGCAGGTATCGCCCACAAGCATACCTGTCGAATACCGACAGTCGGCTCATAACCTGGCATAACAAGGACGTTTTCTCCAGCCAGATAGTCTTTCCCGAAACGCCGCAATAAATCGCACTTAGATCCGACTCCGTATAGAAGAATATTGAAGCCTTCACTGAGTATAAAGCGAAGAACCACGTTAATGATATCCTCTTTAAATAGTTTTAATTTACCAGGATAAAGTTATCTAACTCAAATGGCGTGTTCTGTAGATTGCTCAATGGTATTTAGTGAATCAGATAAAAAATAGGGTAACTGCCAACAGTCGAGGTGTATGCATGAGCAAACGTCAAAGCTGAGTAGAAACAATTAATTACAATAAGTTTCAACATAATATTTGAAGGAACAAAAGCCGATCAGTCAAAATACTTAGAGAACTATTATAGATAAAGAAGCACATATCAAGATTTCACAACAAAAAAAACTACTTTGAAGAAATTACCATGATTTTTTAAGTGGATGTTTTGCGCATTTGAAATAAAATTACGTACCTTAGATATGTAAGAAATCTCGGCAGCAACCTATCACTGAATTCCTGAACGCGTTTCCTCAATATGTTATGACAAAGTGGCTTGTAGGCAGATAAAATTTCTTCGAATTGCTCAGGGCTAGGTAACCCATTTTCACCCCCCGTTCGCAGTCTTGCTAGTGTCTTTTTACCAGTTTTTCCCTTGCAAGTGGATTCCGAATTTTGCATAAAGTACCTGTCAATTACGTCAACCTATAACAAAAGGATGATAGCCGGCCAATTCCAGTCTTACGGTAGAGAATGCATTTGCCCGCTTAGAAATAAGGGAAGGAGTCCGCATTCTTTCAGGTGCACCTTTGTGTGGCAAAGGCCTCACTACAAAGTGACAAAATTTTGATGAGTACACAGTTTGTAGTATGTTTAATTACAATTTATACTAGTTGAAAAGCATAACTGAAATACAAGTGAAATCCAATAAATTGTTTACCAATTTCCTCTAAGCCTGAGCAAGAACACAAGCAATCAAAGCACCGGGTCACTAAATAATCACTACTTCTCAGCACAAACGCCTAGAATAGTTGTGAGAATTAACAGCCATCGATAAGCATTAATTACCGAGTGGACATTTCACTTTGACCTTAAAATTTAGTAAAAAAAGGTTGTGCATAGGCAATACAAGATATAATAAAAGCGACTAACCGGATTTCGAACGTTGACAGATAACCGGCTTACTCGAATTTTCAGAAATGGTCGACGAGATTGCTGTCAATTCGAAAAGTAAGACAAACAGACGGTGAGCCTACCCGTACTAAGCATAGACCTTGTTGAAGGCCTATGTCTTAACGCTAGAAGGTCATCACCACTAGGATTGCTTGTCATTTCGCCTTTATTAAACGCCGAAAATTGCAAAAAAAGTTAACAATCAGAGTCCTTATGACGAACTCATACAAGACCTTGAAAAAGCAAATGACATAAAAGCGTTTCAAGCAGGGCTAACAGCTTTTTGCTTTTTCGCAAAGTTAAAACAAAATGTACACGTGGTGATCATAAGTCGTTTTATGAGCAAAAAGGTCTTATCTATGCAATTGCACAGATACAAGGTTTCGCATAGGGTTTATCGTTTTCACAATAAGATATGTAGGATCAAACTTTGATTTTTATCAAAAATAGCAAAGTGTGAGACAAATTGTATGCTTACGAAGTAAATAAATGTGAATGATAGCGAGATTAAGAGATAAATATGTGTGGCCAGATGTATCAGATACATATCTATTAATATCCTGAAAAGAAAGCACAAGGCAGTCAAAAACACGTAGACAAATATATTGTAAGCAGAAGTTACCGCATCAAATAATAAACCAAGATACTGCATTTTTTTGGTCTTCTCTAAAATACTCTTAAGCTTTTTTTAGCTTTTTTGGGTCTCTGAAATGCAATAGTGTTTTGGGAAAAGCTACTGTTTACCGAATTCAAATAGATGCCTAATTTTTGCACACTTTAGAGACTTTATCTTTGAATATGTAAGCGTTTTCGAAAATGTTTTTTGCTAAATGTGTTGTTTCAAAGCTTTCGATGTTAAAGTGTAACTACAAGCAAGGACGACTTTTCTCATTGGGAGTAAAAAATGCCTTTGCGAAGTAGTTTTGATCAGAAGCCAATGTTTTGTCAGTGCATGAAGGATTTCAAATATTTGTGATTATGATTAATTAGACAATTTCATCTTCGAGAGCTTTGCCCTCCTCTGTATATTGATAGGGATTTTTGAAGTCACCCGAAATAAATTTTAATCTCTTATTTCTCCTTATACACTATTTTTTTTCGGCACAACTAACAAAGATTATGATAGATAACGCAGTAAATTACATGAAGCCACTTTAGCATTGAGACTGCAAACTATATAAGGCATGGCATTCATAGGCATTTAAAGAGTATTCAAAAGTTAGTGCTATACAAATCTCCTGTTACATATAAAATGTTTAAAATCAAGACGCATTGACTACACAATATAACTTGGAAACACAAACTCTCCGAAATGGCTTGCAATTTTCTAAATATCTTGACTAAAGGATGCAGTTAAAATTTCTTTTTGTTTACTGTGTTAAAAGTTGTTGATTCTTGGTCAATCTTGGTTTTTATAAATGGAAATTCTAGGACTTTGACCACACTATTTTGCGTAAACCAATCTGCTTGCAATGGTTTCATGACTTTGCAAAATGTTCGCTACTCGCTTATTTCTTTGAGAATTACAATCTGTATCAACGCATAGGTAATAACCAAATTGAGGAGTACATTGAGGCCGATTGACCGATGATTTTGTAATCTTGTGGTTAGGTTTGATGCATTACCATTATAAGTGGATAGGTTGGTCATGTCTAGTGTTTGTTTCGCAACCGCATAGTCACCTGCTACTTAAGATATGCCAATGGGGTTAGTTACCGTGCTCACTTTGACATATATACACTGTAAGAATGAGGTGAATTAAAGAATCAGCAAAGTGTTAAGAAATGATTTAAAAATGATACACGTTTCTGGATTGCTCTACTTTTGCCTCCCTTGCACAATCTCATAAATAATTTCAAAAGTTTACTTGAATCATCTGTAGTGACTAGAGGATTTAGCACTACCTTACAACCCTCTAGTTAACAGCCCGTAGCTAGCCGAGGATAGGAAAAAGGAGGCGACAGAGAACACGACCGTTTATTAGAGTCGAACCAGCCAAGTGGCTTTGTGTGCGTAT